GGGGGGGGGGCGGCGGGCAGTGCTGGCTGCGGGCCCGCACAGAGGACTTGGAGCAGGGGTCTGTTTTCAGAGAACGTGGCTGGTGTGGGGAGAGGTCTGGGAGGTGGGGGCCGCTGTGTGTGGAAGCCCTGGGCACGGCAGGAGTCCAGGCAAGAGTGTGACAGAGACTCTGGCTGGGGTTGGCGTGATGGCAGGGAGAGCAGGTGATAAGCAGTGCTTCGAGTCGAGTCTGGAGGCAGAGCCGCAGAACTCGCTGCTGGTTGAGTGTGGGGTGGGAGGGGCGGAGAGAAGACCAGGGTGACGGCTGGTGGCCCAGCGTTTTGGTGGACAGCGGCTTGTTTTCCTGAGTCGGGGGGCAGTGGGTTTGGGCGAGGGGGTGGGATGTCGGGGGAGGGCAGTGTGGACACTGTGAAACGGAGGGGTGTGGTCCGCCTGGAGGGTCCGGGTCAGAGCACGGGGCAGGAAGATGCTGCTTTTTCCTGACTCGGGGTTAGGTCTCTTTTGAAATGCCTTTCAAAAGAGAAGGCATTTGAGCAAAACTTTGGAGCATGAGTGCGACTTTTAAAGGAGAAGGTAAGGAACATGAAAACTGATCCCCTGGGTCCCTGTTGAATTGGCTTGAGGAGCTGCAGGCCTAGTTGGTCATGACTCTCACCCATGTAGCCAGGCAGGTTCTCCCCTGGAAAGGAAGCCAGGACAGATCACACACTGACCGAGCGCCCTGTTCTGCCGTCCCCCATTGCACACAAGGTGAAAACTCAAGCTGGCCCCCCTGGGGGCGTGGAGCGCCCGTGGTTTGCCTCGCATGTGTCTGCTGCGCGTTGGGGGGCACTGCTGCTGGTGGGAGTGTTTCTGTGCGCTGGCTGTCGTCTCCACTGAGGGTCTGACACGGGGCGGGGGAGTTTTCACCCCCCACTGATACCAACTTTGTGTGCTCGGCTCAAACTCTTAATTTATAACTCAGTCAAGCTAAAACCACAACTACAACCTTGAGAAATCAGGACCTCTTTCTCCCTCATCACTCACATCCCTCACTGACATCTGTGTTGGCTCCTGCTGTGTCTGAACAGAATGACTCATGCTTTGCCATTCTCCGATTTAGGTGGGATTTTATTTGGAGTGGAATATTGCTTATCTTTTTGTTTATTTTCATGATCACTGTAATCACAAATTTTGGTCTTCTAAATAGAGAAAAATGACTAGATGTTTGTTAGTGGGGTAAAGATTATGCATTGAAAACATTCAGTTTATTAAGTAGTCTAAGGCCCTTTTAGAAATGGTATATAAAATTCACACGAGTCAGGAGTGCTGTTACTCTAAAACGATCTGCAGCCATGCACTGTAATCTGTCCTACTGCTGAGTGTAGATAGGATGTGTGGAACTCGAGTCCTTATGTAATGCTTGTAGCTATTTTTCTATTTAGAAAAGTGTTGCATTATAGAAAAGTAGTCATAGTATTTATCTACAGGTGGGTGGAGGCTTTTAGTTTTCACAGTTCTTACAGTACATTTGATTAGAATTTTTGGTTCGTGTTAGTCTTGAAGCAGCGTGACTGCTGCTGCCCTGCGCTCAGCACGGGCCCCTTGCCCCCAGCACCCTCAGCAGGGTCGGGGGTTCACCCCACGAGGCGCTCCAGGTGAGCAGGGTCCCTGACAAGGACACTGTCTGGACCTTCCGTGAAGTACGGGCAGCTCTTTTTACGTGGAAAAGATTTGAGTACCGAAAAACACAGGTAATGCAGTAAACAACACCTGAATTCAGACTACCTGTTAGTAACTTGTTATACTTGTTTAAATCTTCCTGTAGTAAATAAACTGCACTGAGAACTAAAGACCTCTCTGAGCCCCACGTCTGCCCCTTCACCCCCCTCTCCCTCTGCCCTGCAGAGGGTCTAGTGAGAAGGGTGGCCGTGGTGGTGTCCCCTCGATGAAGCGCTGTGCCGAGGGACACGGCACTGAGCGGGTTTGTGAGTGCAGGTTTAGTCCATTCTTTTCCTCGGATAGCACTTCATAAGGTATAGCACCTTCTTTTATACCTAACGGTGAAAACCTTTATTTTGTGTCAAGGAATCTGGAAGTGGAAGCCACATTTGGGGCACATTACAAATGAGGAATGATCCACGCGCAGTGAGGACAAACTCGGTTACAGAACTACTTCCCAGCTGCACCAGACGCTCCGGCACCAGCGCTTCATTGAAAGTAGAACAGGATTTGCCACACGAAAGGCCAGAAGTGAAGTAGGACAGAATTTAAACCAGCAGATACAAATGTAGCACCTACCTGTATTCACAAACACGGGCCAACACGCAGTGGAGGAATCGGATGTGGAGGAGGGGCTCTGGCCGTGAACACATCCCCCGAAACCACCCAGAAAGGCAGCCTGCGATTTTTTTAAAGCTATTTACTGTTTTTTTTTTTTTTAAATTAGGAATGTTAGGTGAATTCAGTGACAAAAAGGGCACTTTTTTGGGATTTGGCACATTTATTATTAACGAGTTCTTTATATATTCTGAACAGTAATTGTTTATCTATTAGCATAAGCTGCAGGTATCTTTTAGTTTCCCTTGGCTGTTCTTTGTTGTCTGGTGTTACGTCTTTTGGGGTGGCTTTCCCGAGTTCGGTCTCAGATCCTCCATAGTGCTTTCACCCACTGGGTCTTTGTACCAGCTCTCCTCCCCACGGGGCAGACTGGTTTTACTCCCTGCTGCCCAGAGGAACCAGGAGCCTGGTGCACGGGAGAGCGTGTCCGCGTTTCAATCAGGCCGGCTTCCAGTGCGCCGGTAATGGCATCGTTAGGGAGCACTCTTGGTGCTGGTTTCTCCCGCTGTCATAATGGGTGTGATGTTTCTCAGTTGCTGGCTGTCTCCCGAGGATATCAAGGAGGTTACTTTATTAATTCAGAACACATTGCAGTCCAAGATGTCTCCAGGAAAGTTATATCTGTGTGAGAGTTCTTGATGTGTGGTCATTTCAAAATAAGAGCTACACAGTTAGGCTTTCTGCTGAAATATTGGAATCCAATGTCTGCCATTAAAAACACATTGGTTGTAAAGCTTTATTTGTTTCTAAAGCATTGATTTAATGTGTGAGCTAACAATTCAATCAAGACAATAGATTTTTTTAAAAAACTCCTCCCAGTGTCCTTACTCTTGAATTCATGGCTGTTTAAGAGCCTGCTCTCTGAATATCTGTTACTCTGATTTCCTTTCCCATTTTTTAGAGGGGGCAACGTTAAACAAAGTTATCGCAGGATAGTAGTGACAAGAGCGGTGTCGACACGAGGGAACATTTTCACTGCCTCCCACCTGTAATGAACAGCACAGGTTCATCGTGACTCCGGACCCAGGTTACGGAGTGAGCATCTGTCGCAGGAAGCATGCCACAGTCAGGGTCATGTCGCCTCTGAGGAGGGTGTTCTTTCACACCGAGCACCTGTACTGAAACTGTCACGGACGAGTTGCACTCTTCTGGGCTCAGGGCGTCCAGGGATGAGTGGGACCGGAGCAGTCTCATGTGGAAGTTCGCTCTAGATGGGGACAAATGGAATGTGAGTTCCTCCTCAGTCCTCTGCTGAAGATGTGAAGGGCGGTGACGCTGGAGCGGGGCGATGGCAGCCTCCGCGGCCACTCACCCAGAACCCGGCCGTGCACACCGGAGGATGCGTGCGGGGAGGGGGAGCCTCGGCTCAAAGTAGGCAGAGGTGTGGTGTGGCCGTCCGTCCGTTCAGCCAGTTTCCTGAGCATCGGCTCTGTGGTAGGGAGTGCTCTGCGTGCTGGTTGTCAGTCGTGAACAAGAGGGACAGAAGAGTCTCTGTCCATGGAGCTTACATTCTGGAAGGAGAAAGACTTACATAAACCAGAAACGAGATGATGTGAGGGTTGGTGCATTGCAGATGAGTGGAGAATGCAGGCAGCAGGAGGATGCCCTAAATGGAAACGGACTGCCAGAGGGTCGATCGGAAAGATGTCTGTGAGGTGTCCCACAGACTACTCTGTGTTGTCCGCTAACCCCCCCATTTTAATGTCGTTTCCCCATGCACACAGTATACTGTATTGAAACCCCAAGCATGATTTTATTGTCTTAACACAATCCATCACCAGCCCTAGGCTTCTGGGGACAGATTATTACCTTCCCAGGAGGTAATTTTTCCAGAGTCGAAGTGAAATACGGTAACTTGCTTTTTGGAATCGTTGAAGAAAGGAGAGATATTGTACCTAAATTGTGTTTGCAAGAGTATAAAATACAGCTCTTTTTATGCACAGTGAAAAAAAAAATGTTGTGGAGCTAATAACTGAGTTTATATCTTGAAAGCTGAGACCTGATAGATCATGTATCAAATTGGTGTATATAACTTACTTGATAACACACACAATTTGAGTTTCAAAGTATTGTTGCTACATCAGGAGGCATAATACAAAGGAGGAATGTGTGTTTCTAACACCAGAATTTCATGAACTCCAGAAAAAGGAAAGGAAAGCAATCTCTATGCAAAAGAAAGCATCTTACTCATTTACATATTTTATTTACTCATTTGTATACATGCATATTTGAAAATCTCAATGATATTTAATATCAGAGATGTTGGGGTTGCTACCAAAAGTGAATTAATACGAAGGCCAGATTCTTTTTTCTTCCTCTTAAAAAGAGGGGTGGCGTTCAGAGCAGTTTAAGGTTCATGGAAAGATGCAGTCGAAAGTACAGAGAGTCCCTTGAAGCCCCTGACCCCACCCCACATGCTGACCCCGTCACTGTCAACATCCAGCACGAGCTCGGTATGCTTGTCGTAGTTGGTAAGCCCACACTGGCACACCGCTGTGACCCAGACAGAATTCCTGGTCTGCATCGGGCGGTGTCGCCGTTGTCCATTGCATGGATTTCGACAAATGTGTGATATGCATTCACCGTCATGGGATCTATCACACAGAATAGACTCACTATCCATCTATTTATTCTTTCTTTTCCTCTTAACCCTGGTAACCATTGATCTTTTCCTCTTCCAGAATGTTACACGGGATGTAGCCTTCTCAGATTGGCTTCTTTAATTCAGTAATATGCATGTAAGATGCCTCGTGTCTGAGCATGATAGCGCATTTTAGTGCTGAACGGTACCCCACTGGATGGACTGCAGTTTAGCCATTTACCTACTTCTGAAGGACATCTTGGTTGCCTCCAAGTTTTGGCAGTATGAATAAGTACCAAGGAGTGAGATTGATTGCTGGATTGTATGGTAAGAGGGTTTTTTGTTGTTGTTTGTTTGTTTGTTTTTTAAAGAAACAGCCAAACTGTCTTCCAGAGTGTCTGTATCATTTCATAGGCCCATCAGCAATGAACAGGAGCTCCTGTTCTGCCATGTCTTTGCCAGCGTTTCATGTTCAGTGTTTTAGATTTTGGCCATTCCTTTTTTTTTTTTTATTTTTTATTTTATTTATTTATTTTTAGAGAGGGGGAAGGGAGAGAGACACATATCAGTGTGTGACAACAGGTAGATGGATCTGTTGCCTCTCACAGGCCAGCACTCAACACTCAGTCCACTGAGCCACACCAGCCAGGGCAGATTTTGGCTATTCTAATAAGTGTTTATTGGTATTTTGTTGTTTCATTGCTGTTATAATTTGTAGCTTCCTAATGACATGTTCCACATCTTTTATTTGTGTATTTTTCCATCTGTATGTTTTACTTTCCATCTGTGCGTCTTTGGTGAAGTGTTTCTTCAGATCTCTTGCCCAATTTTAAATTAGGCTGATTGTTTTCTTTTATTGTTGTGTTTTAAGAGTTCTTTGTATATTTTAGATGACAGTCCTTTATCACATGGGTTTCTTTTTCCAAATAATGCCTTTAGCAAATATCTTCTCCCAGTCTGTGGCTTGCTTGTCTTTTTCTCTTTTTTCAGATTTTATTTGTATTTAGAGAGAGGAAAAGGCAGAAGGGAGGATGAGAAATGTCAGTGTTGGGGCGAAGCAGGGATCTGGTACTGTGTGCACACCCCATCCAGGAGCTGGGCCCACAACCCAGGCCTGGGCCCCGAGCAGGAACCGAACCCCCAGTCTCCTACTTGGCAGGATGATGACCAACCCACTGAGCCACACTGGTCAGGGCTTCTTGCTTTCTTCTTATTCTCTTGATAGTATCCATTGTAGAGCAAATGTTTTTAATTTTAATGAAGTAGAGCTTGTCAGTTATTTCTTTCGTAGAGTGTGCCTTTGCTGTTATATTTGAAAAGTCATCCCTAAATCCAAGGTTATTTAGAATTTTTTGTTGTTGTTAACTTCTAGGAGTTCTGTGTTTCATATATACACGAGTGTGTGTGTGTGTGTGTGTGTGTGGGTGGTCTGTCCAGAAAGTATCCAGCCAGGCATTATGCACAGTAGATTGAAGAAGGTACAAGAAACAGTGTACGTAGGACAGTGATGCCTCTGTTCCCTTCAAAGTAGGCACCTGGGGACCTCACACTGTTCTCCTACTGACCATCAGCTGCCCCGTCATATTTTCCTGAATCTCACTGATGGTCTGAAATCTCTTCCCTTTCAAAGGTGATTATAGTTTTGGGAAAAGCCAGAAGTTGCAGGGTGCCAAATCTGGTCTGTAGGGGGGCTGAGTCACCTGGGTGATTTCATGTTTCACCAGAAAACTCTGCACGAGACGTGATGCAGGAGTGGGTGTGTTGTCGAGATGAAGTTACCAATCACTAGTTGCCCGTGGCCTTCTGAATCATCCAAATAGTTTCCATGGAGGAATGTTCAAGCTTATTGCAAAATCTGATGCAGATTCATTGCTCTACTCACTGAGTCATTTTGACTGACGGCCACACAGAACACATGCTCACTTAACGGCATCAACTGCCCCCACAGACTAGCACAGTGAAGTCGTCATTGTTCACACTCGTGCACTCCAGTCCCTGCTCCTTGGCTGCCGGGTTACCTGGATGCCATGCAAATGGTTCGCGTATTAACGGTGGCTGGACTTTTTCCAGACAGATATATAGATAGATTATGTGTGTATAAATGTATATAATCTTTCTAGTTGAATTGTTGAGTAAAAATAAAATTATATATTTCCCCTGAAATTCTCTCACACCCTGGCCGGTGTAGCCCAGTGGACTGAGCATGGGCTGCCAACCAAATGGCTGCTGGTTCCATTCCCAGTCAGGGCACGTGCCTGGGTTGTGGGCCAGGTCCCTGGTGGGGGTGTTTGAGAGGCAACCACACATGGATGTTTTCCTCCCTCTTTTTCCTTCTCTTCCCCTCTCTCTGAAAATAGATAAATACATTATGAAAAAAAAAAATCTGTTCTACTATTTTTTCTTTAAAAATTTTTAAATTTTAAAAAATATATTTTATTGATTATGTTATTAATAGTTGTCCAGTTTTCCTCCCCTTTATTCTCCTCTGCCCTGTACCCCACTCCTGCTGGCATCCCCCCACCTCAGTTCGTGTCCAGGGGTCGTACATATAAGTTCTTTGGCTTCTTCATTTCCCATACTACTCTTAACCTCCTCTTTCTGTTTTGTACCTGCCATTTATGCTTCTTACTCCCTGTACCTTTTCCCCTATTCTCCCCACTCCCACTCCCCGCTGATAACCCTCCATGTGATCTCCATTTCTGTGATTCTGTTTCTGTTCTAGTTGTTTGCTTAGTTTTTGTTTTTGTTTTGTTTAGGTTCAGTTGTTGATAGTTGTGAGTTGTCATTTTACTGTTTGTAGTTTCAATCATCTCTGTCTTAGATAAGTCCCTTTAACATTGCATATAAGAAGGGCTTGGTGATGATTAACTCCTTGAACTTGACCTTATCTGGGGAGCACTTTGTCCGCCCTTCCATTCTAAGTGATAGCTTTGCTGGATAGAGCAATCTTGTATATAGGTCCTTGCCTTTCATGAATTGGAATACTTCTTTGCAGCCGCTTCTTGCCTGCAAGGTTTATTTTGAGAAATCAGCTGACAGTCTCAAGGGAACTCCTTTTAGGTAACTGTCTTTGAAGATTCTCTCCTTATCTCTAGTCTTGGCTAATGTGATTATGATGTGCCTTGGTTTGTGCTTCCTTGGGTCCAACTTCTTTGGCACTCTCTGAGCTTCCTGGACTTCCTGAAAGTCTATTTCCTTTGCCAGATTGGAGAAGTTCTCCTTCATTATGTTTCAAATAAGTTTTCAATTTCTTGCTCTTCTCTTCTGGCACCCCTATGATTCAGATGTTGGAACATTTAAAGTTGTTGCAGAGTTCTCTTTATTTTTTTGAATTCTTGTTTCTTCATTCTGTTCCGGTTGAATGTTTATTTCTTATTTCTGGTCCAAATCAGTAATATAAGTCCCAGTTACCTTTCACCCACTGTTGGTTCCCTGTATGTTTTTCTTTATTTCACTTTTTATAGCCTTCACTTTTTCCTCTATTTTGTCTCGGTGTGCCTGTTAGGTAGTAAGGGGCAGGGCCTTATGTATTCACCTGGTGGGGCAAACCACATTCTGGGTTGTGGCGCTGTCTTGCGGGAGGGGCCCGAGAAAATACAGTGCTGCTTGCTTGGCCCTCTACCAACTTTCAGTCACTTGCTCCTGTGCCCACAAGCAAATTGGGCCCTTCCAGTGCTGATTCCTGGGTAGATGGTTTTGTGTAAGTTCTAGGACCCTGTGGGTCTCTCCAACAAACTTTTCTTCTGTGAAGCTGGGAGTTTCTCCTGCCACCTCAGCCCCCAGAGGGTTTTACAGCCAGAGGTTTTGAGGTTTTATTTCCAAACCACGCTGGAGCCCTGGGTTGAGTGGTCTGTCTTGCTCCCCAGTTGTGGAGGAGTTCAGACTCAGGTTGGCCGACGGTATTCACGAATGTGTAATTCACAAGAACGCCTCACAGGGGGGCACGCATCATGTAGGCCCCAGTGGACATTAGTCCAGTTGTTGGAAGGAGGAAAAATGAAAAATTATATAGTAGTCCTAACTTCTTCCAAAATCATGTTGCTTCATTTTTTGCCCTGTTTCACATTTTAGATGCTTAGTTTCTAATTTTATATAAACATCTGAAATCAGAATAGAAGATTAGAAAGAAAAATTATTAAAAGTATGTGCCAGAGATACCTAATCATCTTTTTCATCTCTAGAAAGTACGAAGTCTAACTTTGGAAGGAGATTGCAATTTGTAAAATTGACTTTGCACCTTACAAGCACTGTTTAAATTCACTGGTGATAAATACGCATGTTGGTATAGTACAGCCCCGTTTTTTACATAATGCTTTAGTGGGAATGGCAGTTTTATGGAATAAAGTGACTAGTAAAAATCTGAATGATGCTCATAAGCCCTTACATCATTTTTATTGAGGTTTTTGTATATTCTAATTCATTAATATAGGGGAAAAGGAGAAGACTAACATGGTTTATTTCCTATAATTACTCAAATTAAATAGAATTTATTTTCAATAAAAGTCTTAGAATAAATTGCCAGGGGTGGGGAGAGAAGGGTTGGCCTTTTTTTTTTTTTTTAATGTCTTGATTTTTTTCTCATGAGACTTTGCTGTTTTACCAGGCATGTTGTTCACTCGCATATACTGGGTCCGGTACAAATAAAATCCCCTTTTAATTACAAAATCTTTCATCACAAAATTATAAGCGTGCAATTCTGTAGCATAATATCACACTCAAGCATAAAGTCATTTTAGGTGAGACGTTCACCTCAACCCTGGAGATCGGCACCCCCATATTACCACCCGCCAGCCACACTCAGGCCTTACTTCTGCTGCGCCCTGTGTTCTCAGTGTGTTTCTCTCCAGAGTTGTACAAATTAAAACCCATGAAAGCCCAAGAAATCCTTAATACTTAAAGGCTCATGATTGAATGTTGAGGAGAAACCTGGGATTTTTTTTTCTTGCTTATTACTACAAATACTGTCTTTTAATAATTTAGATTACTTTTTATGTGATTTATACAGATTGAAACAGTATTTAGATTGCTGTATAATAGATTAACTGGGGGAATTTCCAAAAACAGCTTAGTCTTTACAGTTAAATTTGGTTTCCTTTTTTATGGAGTTACCTGGAAGAAAAGGTCAGTGTTAAGGGGTAAACAGATACAGCAGCTCCTCAATTAATGTTGTTTTGTTCAAGGTAGTTTCGCTGTAATGTTGATGAGATGCCATAGGAACTGACCTCTTGTTTATATCAATTAGCCTGTGGCAAAATTGGTTTCTTTATATTTCGTTTTTCTTATAGTGGCAGAACCTATCTGTGATGTTAAGGACTTACCTGTATTTTAAAAGTTCAGGCTTCCCCCGCTTCATGAGGGGGGGTGGGAGGAAGAGACTTTGGAAGCGGAGCTGGAAACACGTGTTCTCAGTGTCGTCAGAGGGCACTCCTACTAGCATCCCTGCGTGTGCCCACAGCGTCCTTCAAAGCCAGAAAGATCTGTGTGTTTTCATGTTTGTGGGTAATTTTAAGTTGTTGGCATTTTAATCTGAAGATGCTTCTGTGCTCCTGAGGCAGAATTTTGTTGAAACTGATAGCTTCAAGCTTATGTCTGGAAAGCTTGAAGACCTGATAGTTTATAAGTCACCTTCACATTGTCGGTGAGCAGCTCCTTTACCCAGGGCTTTCTGTCTGAAAGCCCGCCCCTTTCCAGGTGAGTCATTGTAAAGACACACCTTTGATCTGTCTGCTGTCCCTAGCATTGTTGTGGGGCTCTTTGAGGGGGAGTGTGGCCCACGCGGAGTCCTTGTGACCCACGCGGAGTCCTTGCGATGGGCAGTAGGCATGTGACGGCCCGGAGTGATGTGGGTGGCAATGGCGTCTGTGAGGCGTGTATGTCGTTTGGATGAGTGTGTCTCTGGGTTTCTTTTCTTTGATCCCTGAAAACTGGAGTCCTGTTCAGCAGTATCTTTTTTCTCTCACTTCTGCTGACGTGTTCTCCACCCAAAGAGGCGGAGGCTCTGCAGGAGCCAGCCTTTCTCCCTGTGCGTGTAAAGGCGGGGTGGGTGCCCCGAGAGCGGGGCAGAGCGCTGTACCCCCCAGACCCTGCCTTAGCACCAGGCATCCTGTTTCTCCCTGAGTGCCAGGAACTCCATCCAGGGAGGGAATGTGGTCAGCGTCTGGCTACCCCTCGCAGTAGCTGGAAATCCGCTTGGGCCTCAGGGTACCTGCCCTCTTGCAAAAACTCGCAGTTCTTAGTGAGGAGACGACGCAGGGCGTAGAGAAAGGGTTTGCGCTGGAGCCAGTTGGTGATGCCCCACCAAAGGCTCCGCCTCGCCCCACGTCTGGCCGCAGCCACACCTATGCAGGGCCTCCTTCTCAAGGCTTCCGCCAGCTCCCACAAGGAGGACCAGAGGCACGACCCACTGGGAAGGTGGACCGACGACTGCTCGTTGGGCATTTCATTCCTGAAGGTATTGTTTGGTGCGAATAGCTTTCAGTACACCTGACCCCCAGACAAGAGATGATCCACTGATACAGTTGGTTCCGTTTTAATGTGCCATGGGCGTTCCTAAAAATGATCATTCCACACAAAACAGCCCATCAGACCCACAGGACTTGTGAGGGGGAATGAAGTGAAGCGCACTGAGAAGCCTTAGCCCTGACCAGTGTGGTTGGGCATTGTCCACAAAGTAAGGTCGCCGGTTCAGCTCCCCGGCGGGGAGTGTGCCTGGGTAGGGTCTGGTCCCCAGGCGGGGCGTGTACGAGAGTGACCAGTTGTTGTGTCACTCTTACATCTGTGTTTCTCTTCCTCTCTTTGTCCCTTTTCCTTTTTTTACATATACATCTACTCCATACATACCTACATCCTTACACTTTGTTGGTTGTATGTGCACACGTACAAAGATGTAAAAGCAGTAGCACAGTTTTGCACACATTAAAAGGTAGGAAATACAAACACTACAGTTGAGTGTGGTGCCTGATGCACTTCAGAAGACCTGATGTTTGCCCGTGGGAGTGGGTGGAGAGGTAGGAGGAGGGTCGCCTGCAGTAGAAGGGAGTGAGGACGCCAGGTGCGGCAGGTGTGGCCCTGGCCCACTGGGCGGACGAGCTACAGGAGGTGGGGGCCAGAGGTGCGCATTTCTGCACAGTGCAGCCGGCGGGGTGCAGTTTTCTGGGTTCGCCTAGTATTTCTCGTAGACGGTCACGCGTAAGCAAACGTGAAATTTGTTCTGTGCCCGGAGTGTTCCCTAATATGCACCTGAGTCACGTGGAAACAAAGTCACAGCTTCAGAATCAGCTTTACAGTAGTTTACAGCTGTCTGTTTGATTTCAGAATGGAGTTTCTGTTTTGTTTTTCCTTTCTGCCATTATTGATTTCTTAATTTATGTTTAAGTTAAGCCCATATCACATTGACTTTTCATCCCCTGAGCGCCTCTGGAGGAGAGAAGGCAGCCTGAGATTTTAATTTAGCTAGTGGTGATCGGTGAGGTAGTTTCCTCCTTGGTGCATGCATCTCGGCGTACGTCCGTCTCCATAGAGACACACACACACTCGCGCTCACACACACCCCTTCCCTAGATGCCAGGTACAGCGCCCAAGACACAGGGGCCTGGGAAGCACCACCCTTGTCCTTGGGGGCTTAAGAGTCTCATTACGAAGTTTTCAGGTTATGGATTCGTATGTCTGTGTTGGTTGAGTTTCTTAAGGAAAATCTGGTGAAGCAGCATTAGGTAATTTTCAGTTGGTGGACACACCCCCACACACCTTCCCACCCCTTCTCCTACTTCCTTGTAAATGTAAAGAGCTTGCCTGGAAAAACAAGAGAGTGATTTACACAGTGAAAAGATAGAAACTTGAAAAGGACCTGAGAGGTTTTGGAGTTCCCACTCCCCACCCAACTCTTTAATGATCCCAGCAGACTGGTGCGCAGAGAAGAGGCGGGTTTTGGAGTGTGGGGAGCAGGCGGTCCCGTCCCGTCGGGTGCTAGTACGCTGTTCAGGAGCGTGGACGGCACAGAAAATCCCCATGTCGTTACCTCAGGGGACAAGGGAAGCTGATTAACTTCCTTTTCCTACATCTTTTATTGTTGTAAGAAGCATGTTTTTCTTTTTTAATTAAAAAATTCACACCCTGGCTGGTGTAGCTCAGTGGATTGAGCCTGCGAACCACACGATCTCGGTTCGATTCCCAGTCTGGGCACATGCCTGGGTTGCAGGCCAGTTCCCAGCAGGGGACTCATGAGAGGCAACCACACATTGATGTTTCTCTTCTCTCCTTCTCTTCCCCTCTAAAGATAAATAAAAAGTCTTTTAAAAAAAGATGAAAAAACATCTAATAAAGTAGAAAGTGAATAAATAATAATAAAATACACCCTGAGGGCACCAAGCTCCGGTTTGGTCTTTCGGCAGCCTGGGCGGTCAGACTGTGTGGGACACCGCTGGTGTGGCCGCCAGCGCCACTGGGGCCCCGGGGTCCTGCGCCTGTTTCCAGGGTGGCAGCAGCGTGGCATTGGGGTTCTGTGTGTGCAGACGGCGAACACCTCCAAGCCTCTCTTGCCCCTGCCGCCGTCCAAACGCTCTGCCGTCGGTCACCACTGCGCGCCCTGGTCTGCCCCGTGCACTCTCCCCACCTGCCGTCCTCTCGTCGGGCAGAGTCGGTGTCCAGCACGGGCTGGGGGCCAGCATCGGAGTCAGGGCCTGGCGACCACTGCCGCTCTGTGACACCAGGAGCCCTTTGGCCGGGAGGCGTGTCCGAGCACGTGTCCCGTCCGTCCCCCCCTCCCTGCACGTTAACCTCAGCTCCTCTCTCTTACCTACGGCAGCGGCAGCGAGAGAGGTTTGGACCTTGAGTCTTCTCCTAACCGCACTCCGCACTCTGCCCAGCCCCAGGCCGTGTGTCAGTCTCGCAAACTCTCCTCGTGAGGTTCCCCAATCAGTGTCTGTCTCTCGTTCCGCAGGTCCCTTCACTGATGTTGTTACCACCAACCTAAAGCTTGGCAACCCGACAGACCGAAATGTGTGTTTCAAAGTGAAGACCACGGCACCACGTAGGTACTGCGTGAGGCCCAACAGTGGGATCATTGACGCGGGGGCTGCCATTAATGTATCTGGTAAGTCCTGAGGCTGGAGGCTGGAGGCTGGAAGGGTGGGCTGCAGAGGCCCCCGGAGCTGGTGGGATTTCTTAAGCTTCTGTTCGCAGCGTAGCAAAATAGGAGGGTAGCCTTCGCTCCCTAGCCCTCCAAGCTCAGTGGGCCCTACTCACCTGTTGTTTTTCCATAGTTAATGCTGCTTTGGTTTAATGCTTAAGGCCTTCGTGCCTCAGTGGTTAGAGCAAAATTAAAATGGTAACGTTTCACTCCCTTGAAATTAAATCTGCCCTTTGGCAATAAATAAAAAAGGGCTAAACAAACTTAATTTTACTTTGCGGGAGAAAGCTAAATGGAGTTATTTTCTTATTTAAGTTAAATGATTTCTGACATTAAGCTCATGTCATTTCCCACGATTGGTAACCTCACTTTACTGGTTGTGAAAAGCGAAGGGGGGCGAGGGCCGAGGAAATTGGAATATTCTCAAGGGTGTAAGTTTTGTGCATGTCTAATGGTTTTTTTTCCCCTTCTGTCTGAGAGTGCATATATTTTCCAAAGTCAAACTTTTGAAAAGATGCTGGTAAAGTGCCCAAATTGAGAACTAGATTTCAGAATTAAGGAGATGTAAGTGATGGGTTTGAGTTTAATGTATTTTAGAAGTGAAATAAACTTTTAGCTTATTAGAACTTCTGGATCCAAGAATGCTTTTGTGTTTGTGAAGGAGCTACGGGGGGCGTGTGTTTATCCTTTAAGTATCAGGAGACTTGGTCACAGCGGCTTCTGTATTATTAGAAGCTACTGCTCATTCGAAATGGGTACCTGGCTAGCTTTTTCCACGACAGATTTTGATTGTGATACATTTGGCTGTTCACTTGACACCTAAAAGAAAATGACTCACTTCTTTGGAAGGGTAGGAGGTGTTTCATTATCTGATTGCTCTGCAGACTCTTGTTCCCCGCGTCTGTCGGGCGCTCTTGTTATGCAGGCCTGCACCTGCTGTCCCCTGTGCACTTCTCTCTGAGGCCACAAGAGTGGATCTGGACTCCTGGGTTGACTTCTTACCCAGGAGAGGTCGGGAAGGTAGGGCCCGTGTGTTCACTGTGGCCTCCAGCGTGCAGGGCCAGTGCACGTATCCTCTCCTGTGATTTTGGCTGTCTGCCCTGGGCGGAGGGCACTGGCATTCCATCGTACCAAGGAGGGTACCGGCGGCGGTGGGCTCAGGAAATATGCTCGGGACCGTAGGATGGGGTCACTCTGCCTGGCTCTGAAGGTTAGGCCCTTTGACCCGGGGTAGGGGAGTGGGAGCGCACTGCCAGACCGAAGGGAGGGGCCCTGGCTGGCGTGGCTCAGTGGATTGAGTGCTCACCTGCAAACCAAAGGGTCACCAGTTCAGTTCCCATTCAGGGCACGTGCCTGGGTTGCCAGCCAGATCCCGTTGGGGGGCATGTGAGAGGCAACCACACATCGATGTTTCTCTCCTTCTCTCTCCCACATGGGTTTCCATTTTTCTGTTGAGATCAAGGGCAGCCTCATCTTTCATTCCCTTCTTCCACTGACTTTCCTTCCCCCTCAACCCCCTTGTCCACACCACGTTTGAGCAGAGGTTGTCAGTAGCTGAGAGTGACCAGTTTCCGCAGTAAGTACGGGAGCAGCAGCACGGCTTTCTGGGTAAAATCATCTCAACAGGCGGTTGCAAAGTGTAGGTGTGCTTTCTGATGTTCTGTGTGTGTATGTCTTCTAGAAAGATCTGTCCCTTTCCGTCCCAGAAATGCTTTTTAAAGTAATAACTGACCCTGGGCATTTGTTTTGGTTTATGATTACCTACTGAAGGAAGACCAAGACACTGTGGGTGTGGCCTCTTGGGGCAGATGAGAACGGAAGGTCCAGAGAGTGGGCAGGGTCATCTGGAGTGTCAGGGTGGTGAGTGGCAGAGTTAGATGTTAGGAGCCAGGTGTCCTGGCTCCTGACCCGGAGGCTCTAAGCTGCCCCAGCAGTGTTAGGGATAAGCCTCTGCTTGCGGGCAAATAAATACCAGACATAAGGTGCCCTGGCTCAGCACAGGTTGGATTGGGGAAGAGCAGTTGAGTCATAAAATACCCGTGTGTCTATAGGCTTCCTCCTGCAAGAGACAGGAGCCGTTGGCACGTGGACGAGGATTCCTTAGCTTTTGTTGGTGTGTGCGTATTTCAGTGCTCAAGCTGCACGCGGGTAAGGCCAGGGGTCGTTGCGTTTCTAGGACACTCTTGCCCATGGGCACAGGAAGCTGGCCCTCTGTGCTGCAGTTTTACTCTATCGTTCACTAGACATTCATGTCTTGGGGCGAAGGGCACTGCACTTTTCCAAGGGTCCTCTTAAATGCAGGTACACGGTGCCATCCTGGGGACATGCAGTGTGCCCAATTCCTTGGGAAAGAGGCCGTCCTCAGGGGGCCATTTGTGCAGATTGTCCGAAGACCTGCCTCCCTTCTTCCCAGGCGCACTTGTGGCCAAGTGTGGTCTCATCCACTCAACTCAAAGGTCACTGGATTTGGGGTCACCAGAAACCTGACTAGGAAGCCCAGCTCTGCTGTTTGACTGGCTGGCTGATCTGTGGCCAGTCCATCAACCTTTCTGGGTGGTAGCTTTCTCATCTGTAACCTGGAGAGTGGTGTTTGCTCGTAGAAGGCCTGCCACGCTCTGGTAGCTGGAGGCTGTTGCGCAGGAGGGCTTCTGCCAGCCCTGACGGGCACTGGCCAGGCTGTGGTGGGAGGCTGAGGTACGTATTTAATACTCTAACTGCAGTATTCTACATTCGTTTTATAGTGAAGGCCACTGGTAAGTTTTCAGATATAATCTGTGGAAAGGTGGCCATCAAGTGAACTGCAGATACTGCCAGCAGGCGCTGCCCATGACACACAAGCACCACCACCTGCCTGCAAAGGACAGGACTCCCACGTTGGTTCTCTCCCATTTCTGAAAACCCGGGGGGTGCACAGCTGTTAGGGAAGGCTGTTCCTCATTCTCGGTGAGGGGGTGGAGGGTGGAACATGCCCCTGGAGCCATGGGAGCCACCGCAGGGGCCGAGGGCGTGGTGCACGAGTGAGAGCTTCTAGCTGTCAGATGTGTGTCTTGAAAGACACATACTGTGGAACTCACATTTATTTTTTTGTCAAAAGTCCAGATTCTGGCCTTTCATGCTGTTTTCTTTAGAAGATGGCAAATCACTTAATCGGTTTCTTAAAAACAACAACAACTCTGTTTTATAAACTTTGTTATTTTGGAGCTGGTCACTCAGGTCAGTGATTTGACCTCTTCCTTGTTCTTTGCTCAGGGGCTCATCTCCCCTCCTTCCACCAGGAGCCCCTTCTAGGCCCCCCAGGGTGAGGCTGTGCAGTGGGAGGGGCGCGGGTGCTTCCACTCTGGGCAGGTGGACCAGAAGGCTGTGGTTCTGGCCCCTTACACCTGACACACACCATCTCCCAGAGGTGGTTTTGAGTTACTCAGGTCTGGACCTCAGCAAAACTGGGGCACTTAAATGGAGAGCGGAGGAAGAGACGTTGGGTTCCCCCCAAGATTTTAAATGCAAGGAAAAGAGAACTTTCTGAATTAACGAGTTGTTTGAAACAGTGGGGGGGTCTCCCCATTTGTTCTAGCTTTTCAAAATTCAATCTACTTTCCGAACTGTCTAGTGGGAAAATATTTTTAACGTAGATAATTTCCAAAAATGTCTTTGTGGTAAGCTGTTAGTGGTTGTGGATTTTTTCTAAATACTGCAGTTTAATAATGAGGGAGTTTTCCATTAATATTCCAAACCACGTTTGCCAGCGGATACAGCAGGTGAAGTGGTAAAATTATGGGCCCATCAAAAATACTTAGGCTTCCTGTAATATGATATTAAGTTTAGTATTTTTATAACCTTCGCTGAATTCTAATTTCACTAAAGTAGCAAGTGCACTTCCATTCACAGTGCAGTTATGCTCATCGGCCGCCTGCATGCCCAGCAAATCGGAAATGCAGACTATCTGTCATGGGCGGGGCGTTGGGAAGCGTCACGGAGAGATCGGTATTTAGGTACAGGCATGCTTTACTAAGTGGACCCTGGGAATCGCAGATGGTTAGAGACAAGCACACACAGTCTTCCAGTGTCTGAATCTGTGTTTTAAATTAAAATTTGAAGAATTAAGGAGCAGCATTCATTCCTGACATATAGCCCTTTTTAGCACTTACTTCAATCACATTTAAGGCATAAAGTTCTTCCATTAAAATCCCGAGGACAGACAATGAATATCAGCAACTCTTCTTGAATGGAAACACTGGTCAGTTAATGGAACTTGGGTCGTATTGCAGTTGGTCATTAATCCTTTTGAGGTTTTGCCGATGGGGTTAGTGGAACTCTTCTGGCTCCGCACTGGCCGGCCTGCGGCCTCGGCGCTCAGCGGCTCGCACCAGAGTGAAAGCGCGTGGCCCGCAGAGAGAGGGCTCCGGGAGCACATCCCCACGGCTTCCTTCTCTCTGTCTGATCGTTCGCTTTGGAACTGGTGGCTCTGATAAGAGAAACTTTGGACAAGTGGTTTTCATGAACCAAGTTTGTTACTCTCGGTAAGAGCCACTGTCATTCACACTTAACAGGGATCTCTGATCTTTTTCACCGCATGAAAAATTCTCGTTTTATAAAAAAAGAAACTTACCAACAAAAAATAAGCTTAATTATTACTTCTAAAGGTTTTTTTAAAAGTTTGCTGTGGTATTCAAGTTTCTTAAGGAAAACTCTGCTTCACTTTTTCTGAGTGTGACAGTCAACGTAGTCAGTCCATTCTCGAAGGTCAGCAGGGCGCACGGGGCGTGCAGGGCCCCGCACTTTCAGCCGGAGGGGACTTCGGCACCACGGCTGCGGAGCAGACACTCAGCGGAGCTGTGGGGCGTACAGAGTCCTGTTCTTTTCACTCGTTACAGTTCTTTGCATATTTATACACTTAACCCGCCACACAGCAGAATGAAAAGGAGGAGGCAGCGAGAGGTGGCCACAGTGGGGGAGCGGACAGGAGC